GTTCACTGACGCTTAAACATATAGAGGAAAGGGAATTAAAAAGTCCACTGAACGCTTAAATATAGAAAAAAATTGAAAAGTCCACTGACACATATAGAAGAGGAATTGAAAAAGTCGCACTGACACATATAGAGGAGGAATTGAAAAGTCCACTGACACATATAGAGGAGGAATTGAAAAGTCCACTGACACATATAGAGGAGGAATTGAAAAGTCCACTGACGCTTATTATAATTATAGAGGAGAAATTGAAAAGTTCACTGACGCTTAAACATATAGCAGAGGAGGAATTTAAAAAGTCCACTGACGCTTACATATAAAGAAGAAATTGAAAAGTCCAACTGACGCCTTATACATATAGAGAGGAGGATTTAAAAAGTCCACTGACGCTTACATATAGAAAAAAATTGAAAAGTCCACTGACACATATAGAGGAGGAATTGAAAAGTCCACTGACACATATAGAGGAGGAATTGAAAAGTCCACTGACACATATAGAGGAGGAATTGAAAAGTCCACTGACGCTTATATAATTATAGAGGAGAAATTGAAAAGTTCACTGACGCTTAAACATATAGAGGAGGAATTAAAAAGTCCACTGACGCTTACATATAAAGAAGAAATTGAAAAGTCCACTGACGCTTATACATATAGAGAAGGAATTAAAAAGTCCACTGACGCTTACATATAAAGAAGAAATTGAAAAGTCCACTGACGCTTATACATATAGAGGAGGAATTAAAAAGTCCACTGACGCTTACATATAGAGAAGAAATTGAAAAGTCCACTGACGCTTACATATAAAGAAGAAATTGAAAAGTCCACTGACGCTTATACATATAGAGGAGGAATTAAAAAGTCCACGGACGCTTACATATAAAGAAGAAATTGAAAAGTCCACTGACGCTTATATAAAGAGAATTTATTAAGAATGTTTGATAGAAAGTAGAATGCTTTTTATAATCGTCAAACATTATCACATTTTATTGATTAATATATAATCATGCTAGCTGTACAGATGCACTGAAGACAGTTTTAGTAAGTTCCACCACCGGTCTTTTAAAATGAAAATGGGGTGATCACTCGACAGTAATGGAAAAAAAAGATGAAACAACAGACTCCGTGTTACTGATTATGTTCATCAAGAGAGATTACTGAAGGTACAGTAACTTTAAGAAATCCACATAAAAGAAGAAGCGATATTTACTCCTCAACAGTCAATGATTCCGAAGGACTATTCTAATATTACAATAATAAAGTTCGTGGAAATTTTTCACATATGTTACAAAGACCCGAACACCCGCTGTTGTAGGATTATTTTATATATGTATTATTTAACAGAGGTTTTCCAAAAAGAAAAATATTTGAAGAATCCTAAAATACACCAAGCAAGAAATAGTCATGACAAAAAGGAATACACTTTTGAAAATGCCATAGGTTGCACTTATATACATAAATAAGTAGACGGTACAGTGACGTATTGACCTAAAGTATAAATGTATAGAACTTGTGAATTCAATGTCCAATTTATTGCAGTATAATAATAAGAAACTTTTAAAATTCAGTGTTATATTTGTCACAGTGTAATAATATAGAGCTAATAAATTCAATATCCACTTCATTGCAGTGTTATAATAAAGGACTTATAAATTCGATGTCATATTTATTGCAGTGTAATGATAAACAACTTTTAAAATCAGAGACATATTTACAACATTGTTATAATTACGTACTTACAATTTTAATGTCCAATTTATCGCAATTTTCTCATTAGAAATATAAATTCAATATACACTTTGCTGCAATTAGTCGCTATTTTCTTATGTAGAACTTAAATCTTGTCCAATTTGCTGTAGTGTAATAATATAGAACTAGAAAAGTCCTATAAATTCAATGTCCAATTTGCTGCAGAGAAAAAATGTAAAAATTATAAATTCAATGTCCGATTCTGCACTTATACATACAGTGTCATATTATTGGCTGTGTTCAGTACCATTTAAGTATTTTCAAAGACGTCCAATGCGTATACTTCACAACCAGTATGTTTACAATGCACAGTGCATCACAAAGTTATTTAATAAAGTAAATCCTAAAGTCTATACATGTATACTAAATGTTCTCAATTATTTGGAAAATTACTAAACACGTTAACATATTCTTATTTGCGTCAATACTGAACAAATTTTCAGAAGTACTATATAAGATGTCACATCAATGTGATTTTAACATTCTGCAACTATGATGCAAAGATGTTCTATTTCTGTAAAATGTGTTGATTAATCAAGTAATGTTTATAGTATGACAAAGTTGAACTCCTGACTGAATTATGTGGAAGTTATATTAAGATGAAATTTCTAAATCTCGGTCGTCATCAATTATTTATTATGTAAACTTCGGTAAATTAGCGAACTTCACTGAGGTCCAAAAGCCCAAAAACACAATTACTACCAGATCAGAATGGGGAACTTAAAAAGTAATGCAAAAGACATATGAAAAATATACCCAGATATAAATTGAAAATCGTATTTTGTGATATTCTAAGCAAGCGTTGCAACGCTGTTTAATTTTGATAAGAATAAATGTAGTATTTTTATTTATATCTTATTTATTCATTTATAAATAAATAATTTAAAATTATTTAATTAACTTATCAATTAATTAATAAATTTAATGATTAATTAATCAATTTATTTATTTGTATGTATTTATTTATTTATTTTTGATTTGTAATTGATTGTTTAATTGTTGTTTTTATTTGTTTATTTGTTTGTATTTTTCGTTTTTTTCTTTTGTGTGTGTTTGTTAAATGTTAATTTTTTAAAATTTTGTTTGTTCCTTTTAATTTTTCATGTTTTTCCCCTCCTTTAGACAAACAAATTGTTTCTACAGAAACGATATCAAAGTGTGCGTCTATACTCACACTTAAGAATATAGTTTATTGTCATTTCATTACATTACTGCTTAAGTAATAAGAATATATTGAACAAATCTCGTAATTCAAAGAATTGTAGTTGTATATTTACTTTTTAGTTTTGTTAATATCCACATACCAAACAGACAACGACATATTAAACATTTTGCGAAAGCAAAATAATCTTAATTTGAATTCTTAAGTTGTCAGTGCTGTTCTTTCTGACATGTTCTTCTTAATTCAAAAACTCAGAAAATAAATAAACACAATATAACTACTCTCGAAGCACGTTTGTTTGGATACAAAAAAAATCAGATAAAAATCGCAGTCAGCTAGCATTATATCTGCTTACAGTTATATTGTATTAAGCATGTATATGGACTGTATTGTATTGTATATGGTACAATAAATGAAATATAATGAAGGAAATTACAATTAACCTGTAAAACTGACCGAGTTACCTTCAATAACTAAATGAACTTATCCAAAAATGTTTGCTTTATAAATTGTTTTTTTATCCTGCTATAGTTAACCCTTTGATGTATTGGTGTATTGTTTCTTGTAAGTCATATTTCTGGGTACAGTAAAGCGTCATTAAGTATTCATAGTAATTACACCGTCATTGTATGATTAGTCAGACGTGTGAGTATACTAAATTTAACACTTCAATACATGGTTGTTGAGTTCCAGGATTCCTCCAAAATACAAAAATCGGAGAGTGGCCGACACTCTGTCTTTTGGGTTTTCGGAGAGTGGTACGAAAATATGATTGCATTCACATATGAGGCCTGTTAAATTTACATCATTCAGATATCTAGAGCACTGGGGAGAATATTTTTAGAAAGAATAACGCTTGTTACGTTTTTTATTTATTTTCCGACGTCATGAATGTCATTTATTGTATGGTTTGCGTGCGCCAGGTCATGTAACCCTTGTCATTTGTACGTAAAGCAAAAAATATGAACAGTAGGGTTGCAGTCCTATTACTTTTTGAACAACCCTCGTAAAAAGAAAAAAGTATTTCCATTGCGGGTTTGTTTTTATCATCAGAGATTTGTTAATCGAATGTTATCGTACCCCGCTGACTTTACTGGCATGTTGTCTGCCATCACTTAACTATTGTCAAAATAACCCGGCTCGGTGATTGACGGAAATAAATTTCAGATCTCGATGCAACTGATCCTATCATAATAGCGGCTATGATTTGGAATAAAACTAACCCCTTGCTTTGGTAATGCTTGTTTTTACATACAATGTTGCTTGCTTTGATAAAACTCATGAGAAATCAACTTCTCCGGAACAAGGTCGTGAAAAGTCCAGATTTTTATAGTGTTGCAAAACGGAGTAGAACTGTTTGTTTAGGTTTTTATATTGAACAATTGGCTGAACTGATCTGCATCTGGAGATACTTGTTTCACACAAAAACAATCGTCCTAATGCTGACATCACTAGGGACTGTATTGTTCAAAAAAGCAAAAGCTATCAAATTTTATACGTAATAAGAAATAAAAACAATGGAAATATGGTGTTTTATTCTTTTGATTTTTAACAACAATTGAATAAAAGGAAGCATGAGTAAATGTTATTCACTTGGATAAACCGTTCATGTACAGGCTCATGAGCGGAGCCTTTAAACATTCTCTCATTGTTGCTGTGTTTGGCGACTTCTTGTGTTTCTTTCTGTTTGAAGTATATCATTTATCATGATAGCTATGTGATAGACTGCTGCATTCTTTTCTGTTTTTTTACAACAGATTTTGCAAAATATTCGAAGGACGATTTTCTGTCACCCGATACATATTTCATATGACCAAATAAATTCAAATGCACATAATGGTAATCATTAATCAAAAAATAATTATTTGTCAAAGCTTGTTTGAAGCCCTGTATTGACTCCATTTCTTTATAATATCCCAGGTTATATGCAGACAAGTATAATAAATAGCAGCTCAAAATGAGCGGGTCACATGGAATATTATCTGTGGGTCCAAGTAAATACAGCTGTAGTTGTAAAGGATAAGGAATACTGCCACGGTCGTCCCAATAAAATGGAAAATTTAGCACTATATTTTGTCGATTTGTAGAAGGATCACAATATCGTATATTTGGAAGGAAGTCTTCAAGTTCCCCTGATTTTAAACATATAGATAAGCAAGGCCAAAGAGAGTAACGTGTTATATAATATTTGTCAGACTCATCTTGCAATTTTGGTAATAGAATGCTCCTTAGGTCCGAAAACCTCTCGTATTTAAAGTATGTAATTGCGCATGTCAATGGTACTGTCAAGTAATCAAATTCCTTAAGTTTCAGTATCTTAGAGATATAACAGTCAATGTCCTGTTTTGTCCGTCTGGGACGCTTTCTGACATCTGTAGTAGTAAACGCTAAACGTATACAAGGCGAAATATCTTCGCCGTCTTTTCCAAATTTTCTTTCTTTACTTTGACAAGTGGGTTCTGCAAGTGATTGGTTCAAGGATTTTGGAAATGTGACAAGCATTGGAACAATGCTGTATCTTCTAAAATATTCTGTTAGTGAATAGAATTGTTCAAGTGAAGTATATTTTTCACACATAATGTCGTTATTTCTACACCTAATAAGCAAACGTTCTTGATATTTGTATCTTAATTTTTTTAATGAGTTTATTCTAATGTTGATGTTATTGAGAATATCATCTATCAATGTCTTCGCTTCTGTTTTTTCGTTATTACTTTTATGAAGGAAAAGATTATTTTCCGGTACAATATAATGAGGAAGAATGCCCTTTTCAACGTATCCGGCTAGTTTAAGTAGACCGTCTTGCACACGGTGAACCAAAAGCTCACTTTTCCAATCAGTTTCAGGAGATTCTTCGCATAGCCAAAGTGCAACATTTTTAATATGGTAAGACGATATAATGTTCTGTTTTGTTACAATGTCTTTCAAATATTGTTTGTTAAGTGCCTTCAGTAGTACAAAACATTTGAACTGTGTATCATTCATACTCCATATCAGGTGTCTTTCAATGACTGTGAATGAAATCCTCCATTCCATGTCTTCATCCGTTGAAGATTTGCTACCGATCGGCACAACATAGCAGGAGACGTTTTCTTCTAACGAATCTAAAGTCATTTTGCTCGGCCAATTGTTATTTCTCTTACGAGTCCTCCATGTAATTGCTTCGACAGGCCATTGATTTATTTCTAAACATTTGACTGTGTCTAGTTTACCACAAGTCATTGCTGGCCCATTACATGTAAATATTGCTTTGTTTGGACTTTCAGGAAAATATCCTAATGGGCGTATTTTCTTAAAGAACAATTTACTTGAGAGAAAATAGACATTGTTGACATTTTTGATCAGTTTAGATATCTTTACTTCATTGAAAAAACGAGTAATACCTATGCGTTTGAGCATTAAAATTGCATAAGTATCAATTTTTAATTTGCAATATCCTGAACTGCATCCTTTTCTCACAATATATACAGGTTTTGATTGAACAAGATGTATTAAATCAAGATTTATACTTCCGCGTCTCTCGTCTTCTATAACAGTGAATTCTTTTACTACTTCCATAACATCGGAGTCACTTTTAATTAAATCGGACCCTTCTGGTTTGCCTCCACTAGTTAAAGCTTTATTTAAAAAACGTTCTGTTAGACATTCACCTATCAACTGTGTTATCTTACTCGTTTTTCTAGCTTCTACACCATATCCATTTATATCTAGTCTTTTGTTTATTTCTTTGTTTATATCCATGGCAATGATTGTGCACTAATTTACATTAATAAATTGAAATATAATTATTGATATTTCAAGCCTTTTTTCTACTAACTTTTAAATGCGTGATTAAAAGTCTTCATTTTACTACACATTGAATGGTATGTAAATGACTTTGTAATATATCGATAACTACATGCATATTGAATTTCAATTTTCGAACAAAGTTGTATAGAAATTATTGTCTCATGCTGAATAGAATTATAAGCTATATTTCCCCTGCAAAGCTACGACAGAGAATTATTTTGAAGTGAATGAAAAAACTGTCAAAATATGATAAACACAACACGTGACAATAGATGTATAAAACATAAAGGTTATCGCATGACTGCCGCAACTTTTAACACATGGTTATAATTATGCTTTTTTAAATGAATATACATGTATATACTAAAATACCAAATACAATGTTTTGTTAGATTTTGCCATGGACCTGAAAAAAATTTGGGATCGAAACTCGTTTACATGTATGTTAAAAGGCATTGTGATATATTCTCTTTATGTTTCTCTTTTTTGTTTGTATCATACAAAGGTTGTGATCAATGTTTCGATGTTCTCACCTAGATACAAATGGAAAATATCAAAATTTAATTTAAAATTCTAATTCTTAATTCAGTAAAAATGATAAATGCAAACGTTATATACGAGATGAAGTTATTGAACTTTAAATGGATTAAAACTCTATCATTTCTATATTATTTTACAACATATATGTCAAACATTAACTTAAAAGTTTACATGAATTTATTTAAGTTATATTGTGTTGGAAACTATAAGATTATTTAAACAACTTGGATCCGTTCCTAGCACCAATAAATACTAAGCAAGAAAAAGTATTCTTTAGAACAGTCAACTTAAATTAAAAATTCTCTTTCATCTACTTTTCCTGCAGGTACTTTCTTCATTAAAATGTTTCCTTTGATCAATATTAGTATCAACATTAAGAATACTAAGGCTGCTAAATATTCATTTTTAAATGCCGATATAAGGATGTATCGATGTCCAGATTTACCGACTTTTGATACAATGTCTTAAAGTATGCGTTTGAAATGTTTATATTTATTCTTTTCGTTTCCTTTTCAGATTGAAAATGAATACTAGTAATTGCAAAATACAACATAAGTCAGAACACAGTTATTATAGCTCCTGTATTCCTAATAAATATCTTAAGTTTAACGTGAAAAATGTTATTTTTCAACAGTATTCCAACTGCTAATACTTAAACAAACGAATACATTACAACTTATGCAAATTAGTCTTCTATAGAGAAATCACCTTTTTACAACATCATCATTTTTTCCTCAATGTAAGTTTTTACAATGAATTTAAACTCTGCAGAGCAATCACCTTTTAACAACAGTATCATTTTTCCCGATAGAAAGACTCACAGTAGATTTAACCTCTGAACAGCAATATTTCTCAACAGCAACCAATAAATATGTTTATGCTCATCATTTTTCATAAAAAATATTGAACTTGAAATGTTGCGTTTACCTATTATTATTTTTATCCCTATCATCAGTATTTTTGATTATTATTAAAGCATATTGCGGAGAAATTTTTTCTGGTGAGTAAGGTGATATGCAATAGTTACATATAAAATATCTTTTAAAATCTTATCAATCCTTAATTAAATTTTAAATTTCAAATCTTATATCTAATGAATGTACATTTTGTATTAATTTGTATTACACATTACAATTAAATACTAACAGGATATTTTTTCGTTTGAGTAAAATATGGAATATCTTTTTTCACGAAACATGATAAAATGCCACATATTTTCACGAGCCATGACGGCGAATGAAAAAATGTGGCATTTTATCATGTTGAGTGAAAATATATATCATATTTCACAAAAAACGAAAAAATAACCTTTTTATTTAATTTCATTATTGTTAACTAACTGCAACTGTACAGCGCGCAGTAATATATTATTGGGTATTGTTTTGCACGCGATATTTGGCGCTACATTGTGATGTCACGTAAACAATTCTTTTAACGTCTATACAGCGTTAATAACAGAATTAAAGATATTGGTTTTCGGATTTATTTTCTTAGGTAGTCCCTTAAAATAAATATGAGTTTCGACTCTTCCCACTTTCATATTTATATTTCATATTTATTTTTTTATAAATATGAAATATATTTGACTGATATAGCACCATATTTCATTGGTAAAATTAAATAAAATGTACGTATTTCCATTGAGATATTTAATCAAAGCAACATTCATCTTTTCTAAAAGTAAAATATGTTTTTGTTAGATGAATCGTGATATGTAATTGATAGGTGGAAAATGAACATGGCGACGATGAATACATTAACATAAAGGGGACAACACCTTTATTCGTCTAATAGACCGGTACGCATTTTAGCAAAATGTACGACTCCTTCCTCGGTTTTCTATTTTTACACATACATGTAGCTCTCGGTCGCTATTTTGAAGAAGGCTTAACGGGGATATGATGCACTTTTCAAAGACAGAATTACTAGTATACCTAGGATGAATCGACATAGATTTTTCTCACTAGACAATTAAAGCTCGAATCCGCTTAAAATGCAACTGCCAACAGCATCATCAAAGGGAACATTTCATATAAAAAAATTATTATGATATATTAGAACTATTTATGAAATCAAAATCATTGCTCAAATAACATACAGCGTTTTATCAATACAACTATTACCATAAAATTTCAAAGAACGAACACTAGGCTCTGTTATTCTTAAACTAATAAATATTTCAGTTAACGGATTATTTTACATTTATAAATGAGAAAACAACAAAAGGTCAAGGAAACAACTTTCAATACATCTGTGGGATATTGTTAACTTGAAATTGTCTCATTAAGAGTGTATTTAAATGTCAAAAAATGAATAAATAAATTAAATATGTTTTCATGTCTTGAAATATAATTAAACATGATACAGAAAAAATTCACCTTTTGATCTTTTAATTTTTTAAGGAAAAAAAGCATAATCCTTCAAACATTTTTTTTGAATTAGAAATACTTGTTTAAAGGAAGGGGAAATATATTTCCCTTTAAAAAAATCGCATAACGAAATCAATCAAAGGAAAAAAACCCTTTTAAAAAACATACCACACGTTTTGGAAAATTTTTTAATTTTTTTTTTTCTATCCATGGAAAAACAAAAAATCAATTTTTGTTAAATTTTGAAAACCAAAAAAGATTATGGAAAGCAAAATACTTTTTCTGATAACTGGTTGAACAAAATTTAAAAGTTTTCCTTTAACGATTTTGTTGAAATAATTTCCCATCAACATATTTCAAATAACGAAAATTCTTTGGAAAAAAGAAAACCTTTGAATGGAAAGATTTCTCTTTACATACTATAGTGAAATAGACTTGAATCAGACTTATTACAATTAGCGAATGATTTTTGATCCCCCGAAAGAGTGTTTCCTTTTAGATTCATTCTATGTCCAAAATATAAAAACAATGCTTTCTTATTTTACAATAATATCAGCTGACGATTACATACAGAGGCTAAGCACTATAAAAAACCGAGGCAGTGACGCAGAAATATAGAGAAAAAGAAAAAGTTCTCTTACGATTCAATACATATAGAAGAGAAATTGAAAAGTCCACCTGACGCTTACATATAAAGAAGAAACTGAAAAGTCCACTGATGCTTTATAAGCATAAGAGGAGAAATTGAAAAGTCCACTGACGCTTACATAAAAAAAAAATTTTGAAAAAGCCCACTGACGCTACATTAAAGAGAAGAAAATTGAAATCCACCGAAACTTACATATAAAGAGAAATTTTGAAGGGGCGTCCACTGACGGCGTTACATATAAAGAAGAATTGAAAAGTCCACTGATGCTTACATACAGAGAAGAATTGAAAAGTCCACTGGACGCTTTCATATAAAGAAGAAATTGAAAAAAATCCACTGATGCTTACAATATAGAGAAGAAATTAAAAAAATTCCCACTGACGCTTACTAAAGAAGAAATTGAAAAGTCCACTGACGCTTACATTAGAGAAGAAATTGAAAATCCACTTACGCTTATACATATAGAGGAGGCATAAAAGTCAACTGACGTTACATATAGCAGAAGAAAATTCAAAAGGTCCACGACACAATAAAGAAGAATTGAAAAAGCCACTTCGACGCTGACATATAAAAAAGAAATTTGAAAAGTCTAATGACCCTCTAATACATTATAGAGGGAGAGAATTGAAATGTCCACCAGACGCTACATTTTAAGGGAGAAAAAAATTGAAAATCCACTGGACAAGAGGAGAAATTGAAAAAGGTCCACTTAACGCTTTTACATTATAGAGGGGCATTAAAAGTCACTACCTTTACATATAGAGAGCATTTGAAAAGTCCACTGACGCTTAATATGCAAAGAAATTCAAAAAGTCACTTGATGCTTACATATAAAGAAGGAATTGAAAAGTCCACTGATGCTTACAAAAAAAAGAAATTGAATAGCATCCACGACGCTTATACCATATAGAGGAGAAATGAAAAGTATCCACTGACGCTTACATAAAAAATCCATGACGCTTATACATATAGAGCAGAAAATTTTGAAAAGTCACTGACGCTTATATAAAGAGGAATTATTTAAGATTTTTATAGAAAGAATGCATGAAATCGTCATGCATTATCACATTTTATTGATTAATACTATATCATCTAAGCTATAGAGATGCCACTGAAAACAGTTTTAGTTAGTTCCCCATCGGTCTTTACAGTAATGAAAGGGGATAAAGATTAAACATCAGGACTCCGTGTTACTGATTATATTCATCAAGAGGGATTACTGAAGGTGCAGTAATTAAGAAACTCTACACTAAAGAAGAAGCGAATATTTACTCCTCAACAGTCAATGAATCCGAAGGACTATTTCAAATATTTACAACAATAAAAGTACGTTGGTTACTTTTCAACAAAATTCTTTTGGTTTTTACCCCCCCCCAAAAGACCGAACACCCCCTGGTTGTAGGATTATTTTTATTTGATATATTTATTATTGAACAGTGCTTTCCAAATCGAATTTTTTTAAAAGAACCCTAAAATACCCCCCAGAAAGAAATAGGTCATGAAAGACAATGAATACACTTTTTGAAAATGGCGATAGGGGGTTGCACTTTATACATATAAATTAGGGTGAGGACGGCACGACTGGTATTGACCAAAATGTAAATTTATAGAACTTTATTGGAAATTCAAGTCATATTTATTGGGCTATAGTAAAAAAAGAAAACTTTTTAAAATTTATTTTAACACAGGTTAATAATAATAGAGGCCTAATAAAATTCAATGCCACTTTATTGCAGTGTTATAACAATTCAGGTGTCCGTAAGACAGCGCGCCGCTCGACTTTTTTAGTCTTGCCTATAATAACAAAACATTGACAGTTTAAGGGCCATAATTCAAATAAATCTTTGACAGAATTACCCTTCTCCTGGACATGTTTTTGGGAATCATGATTGTAAACAAGTATTTCCAACTTTCAAATTAATATCTCAAACAGTTCAGTCAAAAAGTGGACTGGTACTAAAAACTTAACCAAGATTCTAAGTCGATAAAAGGCCTTAATTTTTAAAACAAATCCTTGACAGAGTTACCTTCTCTTGCGTACAGATGGGGGTAATGATGTGAAATAGCATTAAAAGTTTCAAAGCAATATCTCAAAGGGTTAAGGCAATAAGTGGATTTTACCCATATTCAATGTATTTTCTAAGTCAAAAAGGGGCATAATTCTTTGTCAAAAACCTTGACAGAGTTATGTCCTCTTGTCTGTTGATGAAGGTCGTGATGGTAAACAAGTATGGTCAGTTTCAAAGCAATACCTCCAATGGTTTTTGAAATAAGTGAGGTGGTACAAAAAACTTAACCAAGATTCTAAGTCGATAAAGGCCTTAATTTTTAAAACAAATCCTTGACAGAGTTACCTTCTCTTGCGTACAGATGGGGGTAATGATGTGAAATAGCATTAAAAGTTTCAAAGCAATATCTCAAAGGGTTAAGGCAATAAGTGGATTTTACCCATATTCAATGTATTTTCTAAGTCAAAAAGGGGCATAATTCTGTCAAAAACCTTGACAGAGTTATGTCCTCTTGTCTGTTGATGAAGGTCGTGATGGTAAACAAGTATGGTCAGTTTCAAAGCAATACCTCCAATGGTTTTGAAATAAAGTGAGGTGGTACAAAAAACTTAACCAAGCTCAATACACTTTCTAAGTCAAAAAAGGGCCATAATTCTTTCAAAAACCTTGACAGAGTTATGTACTCTGGTCTGTAGATGGAGGTTATGATGGTGAACAAGTATGGTAAGTTTCAAAGCCATACTTGTAATACTTCTGAAATAAAGTGGGGTGGTACGAAAAACTTAACCAAGGTGTGACGCCAACGCTAACGCTAACGCCGACGCCGACGCCGACGCCGGGGCGAGTAGGATAGCTCCCCTTTTCATAGAAAAGTCGAGCTAAAAAGGATTTATAAATTCAGTGTCATATTAATTGCAGTGTAATGATAAACAACTTTTAAAATCAGTGACATATTTACAACATTGTTATATTTAAGTACTTACAATTTCAATGTCCAATTTATCGCAATTTTCTCATTAGAAATTATAAAATTCAATATACACTTTGCTGCAATTAGCCGCTATTTTCTTATGTAGAACTTAAATATTTAATGTCCAATTTGCTGCAGTGTAATTATTTAGAACTAGAAAAGTCTTATAAATTCAATGTCCAGTTTGCTGCAGAGAAATAATGTAGAAATTATGAATTCAATGTCCGATTCTGCAGTGTTATTATATAGAACTTATACATACAGTGTCATATTATTGGCTGTGTTCAGTACCATTTAAAAAAAAAATATTTTCAAAGAAGTCCAAAATAAGAGTAAAATGCGTATACTTCACATCCAGTATGTTTACAATGCACAGTGCATCACGAAGATATTTCTTAAAGTAAATCCTAAAGTCTATATACTAAATTTTCTCAATTATTTGGAAAATTACTGAAAATGTTCACATATTCTCATGTGCGCCAATACTGAGTACTATATAAGATGCCACATCAACGTGCTTTTAACATTCTGCAACTATGATGCAAAGATGTTCTATTTCTGTAAAATGTGTTGATTAATCACGTTATGTTTATAATATGACAAAGTTGAACTCCTGACTGAATTATGTCGAAGTTATATTTAGATGAAATGTTTGTATCTCGGTCATCATCAATTATTTATCACTGTAAACTACGGCGATTTCATTACTCATTATTAGATCAGATTGGGGAACTTAAAAAAAGATAATGCAAAAGACATATGAAAAATATATCCAGATTATTGAGAATCGTATTTTTGTGCTATTCCAAGCAAGCGTTGCAACGCTGTTTAATTTTGGTTCATTTTTCACGATAATTGTAGTATTTTTACTTATACTTTATTTATCCATTTATTAATAAATAAATTAATTAATCAATTAATTTATTAATTGAATGATTGCTTAATTTATCTATTTTTTTATTTATTTTTTTTTATTTGTATTGTTTGTTTGATTGTTGTTTTGATTTGTTTATTTAATTGTATTTTTCGTGTTTTTTTTTTCGTTTGTGTTTGTTCGTTTGATGTTGATTTTTTAATATTTCTTGATCCGTTTTTATTCTTTCATGTTTTTCCCCTCCTGTAGGAAAACTAATTTAAACTACAGAAACGATACCAAAGTGTGCGTCTATACCATTGTGTGTTTTCATTTCATTACATTACTGCTTGTAGTTATAAGAATATATTCAACAAATCTCGTAATTGTAGTTGTATATCTACTTTTTAGTGTTGTTGATATCCACATATCAAACCGACAGCAAAATAATAAACATTGTGCGAAAGCGAAATAATCTTTATTTGAATTCTTAAGTTGTCAGTGTTGTTCTTTCATGACATTTTCTACTTAAAAAAATCAGAAAATAAATAAACTCAATGAAACTACTCTCGAAGTACTTCTTTTTGCATATAAAAAGATAGATTAGATAAAAAATCACTTTTTTAAAACAAATTTAACGAAGCGTTATAGCTTAAGTTAATATCTTCTTGCAGTTTTATTGTATAAAACAATACCAAGTATGTAAACTGTATTGTTTAAAATGAAATTTAGAATATTTACAAGGAAAGTAATTTCAATTCACCTGTACAAATGACCAAGTTGCCTTCAATACTTGTAACTATATGAACTAATCCATATAAATTGTCTTTGTATCCTACTATAGTTTACTCTTTTGTGTATTGTTTATTTCATGTGCAAAGTTAATCCATTTCAATTTTATGTAACAGTTACATACATATAAAATGTAATATATGTAAAATATTGAAATAAATATGTTTAAACTAAAGCCATGGCTAAAAGTACTTACAAACTGCTCAATTAAGTGTCCTGTAGCTTTCATAGTGATTAAGGAAATGATTTTTTTTTAAATATTTATCATTTATTTGCATGGTAACAAATTTCACTTAGTTAAAAAAAAAATTAATTTCCATGGCAAATTATATTATTGAGGTAAAGCATTTTAAATATGATAAAATATATAATAGTAGAATATGCAAGACAAAATAAATGCAGTTCAGATCTCCGTTCATTGGGTACCCGGCCACGGATGGCAACTCAACAAGCCTCCAAACCGCCAAATGTGCTGGTGATCCCCTCGGAACGGATATTCCTTTGTGAACTACAACATATGACTGTTATTTTCAATAACATACTGCTACGAAATAATAGAAATGATTATATAAAAAGCACATGCTATTTTTAACAGTAGCAATATCACCCCGAGGAAAATACTGTTACCCTAGGTGTTAGCGGACGGAGTTGATGCAATTATGCATGGCCATGGTTTGAATTAAAATAACATAAACGGTAATTCCATCCTTCTTTCTGAACACAGTCCTCTTTTCTTTTTTTTTTCTTTTTTTTTTTGCACGTCTCGGTTAATACTCGAGAATAAATCATATCACAATTAATGGACACTAACAATAAGTTGCCGGGACCAGGATTTCATTCCAAAACGTATTAACCTCGGCCTTTGGACCACAGGCTTTCTATAAAGTTATGACAGGGAATAGCAACGTAAATAAAGATTTCCATTGCGGTTTGTTTCATCAGTAGAGATTTGTTATTCATATCTTATCTTATAGTACCCGTTTGAATATCTTGCTTGCATATTCTTATGTGACTGGATAACGTTTGTAAAGGGGAAAATACTGAAACGTCACCATTGTCAAAATAACCCGGCTAGTTGATAGACGAAAATAGATTTTAGACCTCAATGACGACTTTTCCTTCATAATACCGGCTACGTTTTGGAATAAAACTAACTTCTTGCTTGGGTAATGCTTGTTTTGATAAATCTTTTAAGAAAACAACTTCTCTGGAACCAGAGTAATAAGTTCAGTTGTTTATAAAGATAGAAAAAACGTAGTCAAATTATTTTATTTAGGTTATTATATTGAAAATTAGATATAACTTATCTGCTTCTGGACATACACATATACACAAAGGCAATAATCCTTAATCTGAAATCACAAGGCACTAGGAAATTTTTAAAAAAGCAATAGTATTCCAATTAAATGCGTGATAAGAAACAAAAACAATGACATTATAATTTTTTCTATTTAACAAGAATTGAATTAAATATAGCATTATTAATCAAATGTAGTTTGTTCATAAACAGGCTCATTGAAACTGAGCGAAGCCTTAAAACATTGTCTTTTTTGCTTTGTTTAGCGACTTCCATCGTTTCCTCCTATACAATCATTTTGTTTAAAGCAATTCATTTATCATGATAGCTATGTGATAAAGTGCTGCATTCTGTACACCTGGCTTTTCGTCAATAGACTTTGCAAAATATTCGAAGGACGATTTTCTGTCACCTGATACGTATTTCATATGACCAAATAAATTTAGATGCACATAGTGGAACGCATGCCAAAAATAATCGTAACTTGTCAATGCGTTCTCAAAGACGACCTGTACTGATTTCATTTCCTTACATAATCTCAGGTTAAATGCAGACAAGTATAATAAATAGCAGCTCAGAATGAGCGGGTTACATTCAATGTTTAATCTGGGTCCAAGTAAAGACAGCTGTAGATGCACAGGATAAGGAAAATGGAGACATTCCTTCCAATAAAAAGGAAAATTTAACAATATATTTTGCCTGTTTGTAGAAGGAAAACAAGATTGTAGTGATGGTAATACTTCTGTAAGTTTTCCTGATTTTAAACAAATAGATGAGAAAGGCAATGAAGAGTTACAGTTTATATAATATTTGTCAGACCCATCTTGTAATTTTGGTAACAGTATGCTCCTTAGTTCGGAAAACCTCTCGTATTGAAAGTATATAACTGCACATGTTAATGGAACTGTCAAATAGTCAAATTCCTCAAACTTCAGTATCTTAGAGATGTAACTGTCAATTTCCTGCTTTTGCTTTGACCGGCGCGGACACATTCTGAGTTCTGAAGTAGTGAACGCTAGTCGTATGCAGGATGAAATATCTTTGCCGTCTTTTCCAAATTCTCTTTCTATACTTTCGCAAGTGTCTTCTACAAGAGATTGGCTCCAAGATCTCGGAGCTGTTACAAGCATTCGAACAATGCTGTATCTTCTGAAATATTCTGTAAGGGAAAAAATCTGTTCCTGTGAAATGTATTTTTCTCGTCTCTTTTCTTTATTTCTTTCTGAAAAAACAAGCTGACGCTCTTGTATTCGGTACCTCAAATTGTCCAATGAGCTTATTTTGATGTGCAGGTCACCGAGGACAGCATCTATTAATGTCTTCGCTTTCCTTTTTTCAGAGTGGTTTTTATGAAGGAAAAGATTATTTTTCGGAACAAAATATTGAGGCAGATTACCTTTTTTAACGTATTCGGCTAACTTCAGAAGACCGTTCCGCACACATTGAACCAAAAGCTCACTTTTCCAATCAGTTTCAGGAGATTCTTCACACAGCCAAAGTGCAACATTTTTAATATGATAAGACGATATAATGCCTTTCAAATATTGTTTGTTAAGTGCCTTCAGTAGTACAAAACATTTGAACTGTGTATCATTCATGCTCCATATCAGATGCCTTTCAATTTCTGTGAATGAAATCCTCCATTCCATGTCTTGTTCTCTAGATGATTTGCTACCAATCGGAACAACATAACAGGAGACTTTTGAATCTAACGAATCTAAAGTCATTTTGCTCGGCCAATTGTTCTTCCTTTCACGAGTCTTCCATTTAATTGCTTCGACAGGCCATTGATGTATTTCTAAACATATGACTATGTCTAAATCACCACAAGTCATTGCTGGTCCATTACATGTAAATATTGGTTTGTTTGGATTTTCAGGAACACATCCACCTGGGAGAAGTTTCTCACGGAACAGTTTACTTGAGAGAAAATATTCATTGTTGTCATTTTTAAATATATTTAGTTCTAATTTAATTTCAATGATGTACATTATATCATAATCTATTTTTAATTTGCAATATCCTGAAATACATCCGTTTCTTGAAATATAAACAGGTAATGGGGGAAGACATTGTAATAAATCATATATATCTCTGCGTCCCTCTTCTTCTATAACGGTGAATACTTTCACCACTTCCATAACATCAGTGTCACTTTCAGTTAAAATGGACCCTTCTGGATAGCCTCCACTAGTTATAGCTTTTCTTACGAAACGTTCTTCGAGATATTGTCCTATCAGCTGTGTTATCTGATTAGTTTTTCTAGCTTCCACACTATATCCATGTATATCTAGTCTTTTGTTTATTTTTTTGTTGATATCCATGGCAATGTCTGTTCACTTATTAACATTAATAAACTGAAAAATAACTATTGATATTTCAAGCCTTATTCCTAATAACTTTTAAATGCGCAGTTCTAAAGTCGTTATTTTACTACACTTTGAAAGGTATGTGAATAACTTTTATATATCGTTAACTACGTGCATATTGAATTTCAGTTATCAAACAAAGCTGTATAGAAATTATTGTCTCGTCCTGAATAAAATTATAAGTTATTTCACCCCTGCAAAGCTCCGACAATAAATTATTTTGAAATTATTGACAAAACTGTTAAATCGATAATGTATACAGATCGTGTCAATACTACCAATCAAGTATTCAGTCATAAAATGGTATCGAATCAATGTAGGTAATTGAGCGAGTTGAATAACATCGTATTATGCGCATTATAATATTTTATTTAAAGCATTCAATAAAGATACAAATACGTCGTTCTACACTTGAAGAAGATTGTGATTTTTCAAATGACTAATTTATGAAATTCTAAAGAGAGAGGTTTGTGTCCTCTAAACGTTTTTTTTTTTTTCAAAGTGAACGTTTAGCACTAGAAAGATATAGTGTCTTATGATCATTTAACATTTTCTGATCAGCATTATTTTAATTTAAAGAGGACTTTTTAATATACATATCAAACGGAAGTATTAAAGCAGCATGCATCCAGATTCATGCTAATTGTCATGCAAATTTTGAAAATGTATTTAAAAGTAAAATATTCTGAAGTGACCAAAACGAACGTTTCACATTGCAAACGGCGCTTACCATCCACGTAAATTACAAAAAAGGTCAAAATATGTAAAGATTACCCTTACTGTGTTAGTCACGCACAAGAAATATTGTGAAAATATTACAAAATCAGTCATTAATCGCACATAACATGTAAATTATTACTTGAATCTTGAATCATTTTACTTTTCTCAAATTGTTCGTACAATTTTCATAATGGTCCATTATGTCTCAGAATTTCTATCATTTATATTTTACAAAACTTTAAATTTTTGGTATCATGTTACTACGGAAGAGTATACTGACCCCCCTTATATATTTTTATGCCTTCAAGAAAAAAAAACCTTTGTATAATACATATCTTTAAAAAAGTGACAAGTTATATGATATCTAAAATAAATCTTGCACAGTTTTATCTGTTATTATACACCATAAATCACAAATATGCATTGTTTCTTCGATGATATTTGGAAATTTAAGAGAACAGAATGTTCTTCTTAACATACAGTAGTTGTACACATATGAATCTCATGAAAAAAGAAGTATGAATTTATAAATTAAATTAGATTCTCTTGGTATAATAAGTCGCATCTATTATTATAATATTAAATGGCCATTTTTTCGTTTTGATATAAAAAAAAAACATGTATAATCATTGAAAAAGATGTAAGAAATATTTATAGTATAAGTTACTCAAAGTTTCAATACCATTTATATAAAAATAATATATATCAGTTAAATTATAATATTTTATATAATGCTGGCAAGATACTCGTGTACCGCAAGCGTGTTATCATAACGATCAACTTATTTTAGGAAACATATAAAACATCATCTAAGCTAAAAACTCAGGTAAAGAATATATATATTATATATGATTATATCATCTCTATATCTGTCAAACAAATAGTGCCTCAAAACATACTGTTTTCAAATAAATAAAAGCGTTTACATCAAGAAAACGTCTGCTTCTTGAGGTAGAATTTCAATGAAAAGAAGAAAAAACATAATTCTTATAAATAAAAGTAAGGTCTTCAGAAAGACTTAAGTTTATAATACGTATCTTTAACAGTATAGTAGCCAAAAAACAGAAAAGATCAATATGAACTATATATATAAATTTTAAAAAAACAATACGAACTATGTTGTTATCATGTATCGTCGTATTTTAAACAGGCATATAAAATATATAAGGGGGGTCAGTATACTCTTCCGTATGTTACAGTATCGAAGAAATACTCATTTTTCATATAAATGAACTATCTTTGCTTCTTTCGCTTTGTTGGCAATTGGTATAATCATAGTGAATTAGTATTTTGTATTGAAGTCAAAATACTACTTTGTTTTCATAATATACATTACTGCATATACTACTTTATCTAACATACTCTTAATCCAATATTAAAACATTATCAAAAACATGTTTGACATTTCTCAAAAATTTCATAAATATGGATTTCTGAGACATAATGTACAAGAATCATAATTCTGTTTGAAGTTGATTTTCTCTCTTACTTTAAAAATGTTTATTCGTTAATAACACCTATACAGTAATTTATAAAACCGCGTAAGTATTTTGTTTCACGCACTTCTGTTGCTACAAGAATGAAAGTACATAGAAACCTCATAAATTAGCTATATAAGTTATTTTACTTTAGTTCGTTGGAATACTGTTAAAAGGGTTAATAAAAGTGTAGTTGGTTGGTTTTTAGACCGACGACAAAATATTTCTATATTTATAAAATGCAGCGTTAATTTCCTTATTTCTTATAAAAAGTCACTCTAACATCCAAGTCCAGAAAAGTTGTCATAACTCGATATCCGTACGATAAAGTTTGTTTAAATGTTGTATACAGATGTCATTTATTGTATATATCTATATTATAATAAACCTAGTGTCCATAAATTCGTTGAACTTATGCAGAATACCAACAGCAACATGCAACTTGAATTATATAAGATGTATATATGAAGCGTTTGAAATACGTCTATGATATTTGAATAAGCTTAGTACTGTATCTACCTTTTTATTAAATCAAATAAATATACACATTTTCCTTGTTATAATTCAACAATTTCATGAAGCATTTGACTTATTTTGACTGTGATTTATCAGTAAATCATAAAATATACAATTTTTCCATTAGTTTAACCTCCATGTTTTCTAGATTCCATTTTCTCTCTTGTTTTGACTATATGTATCATATTTTCTCTATAAAATTGTGTCATGTTGACAAGAAATAATAATCAAAAATTTGGTATTTCGTAATTTATGCGTATTTTTTACAATCTGCCAAGGGAGGTAATCGCTGTGAGAAAAGCCTTTTACTTCCCTTTAACGATATTATATACAAAAAATTAGAATCATTTTATAACTTTTGGCAGAATGTTATATCTAAACAATAATTTTAAAAAGATATTATATATCTCGCATAAAACCTTAAGAGTTATTAGTATCATTCATATATTTAAACTATGTTGTTTGTAATATTTTTTGAGTATATAAATTTAATATTTCGACTGCAATTTGACGAATGGTTCAATTACTATTATCACATAATCCCCCGGCTTACGATTATGTACTTTTTAAAAGCCTAGTAACGGCTAAAACATGAACAGAACTGATATCTCTTTTCCGGACAAGAAAGTTTATTTAATCGTTTTGAATTTTTCTTTCCTTAGTCTGTTAATGTCCTCAAATTGAATACACTAGGCAGTCACAGGAACAAAACTTTTCTCCTTATAAAGAATAAAATGGTGGTTTCTTAACTTGACCCAAGAGCGTTAAGATTTCACAATAGCTGTCACAGTGATCTCTGGAAACGTTTAAGAACATGTCAAATGAATGATTTAGGTTTGTCTGAATCATACAATATCCACAATATCTGTTATTGTAACTTCCAGTGTTTGTTCAAGTCACATGACTAGTTTTAAAACTTCTCGGTCTAAATTTCGTTCAACATAATTATATAGCTATATTTACGCTTCAAACCCAAACTATGTAGAATTTATACAGAAATTTATGCTGGGACTTAAAAAAAATGTCATTTTAGCGTGATTTGACAGGGCCAAAACACCATTTTTGGGGAAGGGGCCTCGGCCTTTTTCTTGGGGGAAAATATGCATGATTTTGGCATACTTTTGGAAAAGGGGTCTCAAATTTAACAAAAACTTTTAACTAACAAGTTCTTCAAAATAAAAAGCAAAAAGCACTGGGAAATACTTATAACACAGTAAAAGACCATAATTCAACACCATCATTTAATTTTGTTCTAAATTCTATGGGAGGTTTCAAAAGCGTGGTGAACTTTGAGGACCAAACTGGGAAAAAAAGAGGCTAGTTTGGTTGGGGAAGCAGCCTTTATTCGGCCTCTACAAAGAAGGGTTTTTTGGTCCTGTTTGAGTACATAATATAATTTTGATATTTTTGTCATTAATTTGCCTGAGTATCCCTTTAATTTCTATCCTCTAACAAAACTAAGACTATAAGAATGGAATAAAGGCCTCATAATTTTTTTCCAAAAGAAATCGACCATGGTAGAAGAAGTAATGGCGTTGAATGTGAAAAAATGGTTTAAAATAACTGTAAATATGTTTTCTCTTGAGAAATCAAGAGTCCCGAGGGTTTAAAGTTACAGAATCCCTTGCCAATTTTGGTGTCCCCGGGATCGTGGGACTGCGGTAGTATCGAAAATTTATTGTTATAGTATAAATAGCATGGAATTTTGTCTTCAAATCAATATAGAATGTGAGAAAAACAGAAGAGTTCAGCTTAATAAAACTAATAGCATAGAAGGGTTTAATGTTTACGTTGAAATTATCAAGAGAATTCGGAACATGAATTTATGCATTTAATTTTAGCAGTATTTTTCAATACATGTATTTCATTAATAAGTACATGTATAAAATAAATGCCTTTATAAGATATTACACCCTACAGACCAGACCCTACAGTATATCAAGTTTCTCTTGCAACGGTATTTATGCTTAGATAGCTATTAATAAAATATCGTTTTGTCACGTTAAATCACGAGACATTCTGTGAATATATTACTCTTCCCTAGTATTATATCACCATTGATAAACGGATAACGTATATAACCTATAATTTCTCCTTTACAGAATTGACATATTTATGTTAACTAGCGGCCGTATATTAACCCATACCGTGCTAAATATCTTAAACGGACTTGGTCATCTTCCGGTCTGAACAAAACTATTTATCATTTGAGGGAACACGCACTGATCGAATAGCGGGATCCAACGGCATAACATATAGTCTTAAAGAGCATCGAAACAAGAGGCTATCTGATTTGTACGAGAGGGGCATACCCCCCGAGTATTAATCAGATTGTCGAGTGTTTTGATGTTCTTTCTCCTTTGTACATGTAT